TGGTCATCGAATGGCTTTTCTTTCGCTCTTACAGATTAGGGACCCGTCGGTTTGGCATTCTATCAGCTATCAAACTATGCGTCAATTGAAGCAGTTGAACACTACTGATATCTCGGCTGTAGCTAGATCAATGGCTGTGATGGGATATCGAGACACCTTCCTCATCAATGGCTTAGCTGATGCTATGTGGTGTTTGGCCAAAGTAAACTCAACCCCTCACCAGATGGCTCCCACTCCATGTCCTCATCAGATCAGACGAGGGAAATTATTCGATTCTGCGGCCATACTTGATTCCTTCCGAAAGCTTAATTTCATCCCGAGAATGCCCGCCCTAGATGCTATCACAGCTGACTTGAGACGTCAAGGGTGGGATAGATACAAATGGCGCAGTACCGATATTGCAAGGATATTCCTGTACGCCTTGTTGCTGTCTCCATCACTGTCCCCTCCCTCATCAGTTACTATTCTGCTCTACCACCACATATTGCTGATAAACTACGTGACAAGGGCTTCCTCTCGGACCTGGAGGCCCATATCGAGACTAGACTCGGTCGTATGTCCGCCCGGGACATCTCCCTTATATCTCGCTCTACTACTACTATCGGAATCGATCGGATGACGGAAGCCTTCCTTCGATCGAAGGAGATACAGACCGGCAATCTGCTTTACTATTGCGTCACCTTGCTCAAGGCAGGAGTCAGTAGACCCCCTGTTACCTTCATGAACCGCCTGAGACGTGAGATCGACGCCACGTTCACGCAGCTGAAACCGGCCCATATCGAACGCTTCCTGCATGTCTTCATGAACTTTGAATGCTTCAGTGATGAGAGGATCCTAATATGCCTATCCCGTGCTACGGAGTCCAATTTGGACCGTATGAGTCAGCGCAGACTCAGATCGATATTGTTGGCTTTTCATCGGCTATGCAAGCCTACTAACTCGTTACTGCCGCAACTAGCTGCTCGGGTTCGGGCCGCTGTCCCGAGGGAGTCGATACATGCCGAGACCATAGCTTTGCTTATGCGTGCATTTGTGGTAGAGTCGCCTCTCAAACAACAGCAGAACACTCGCCTCATCTTGACTGACTTGGGCCGACAACTCGTGGAACGATTGCGGTCCGCTACAAAAGGTGCGACTCCGCGGCGATCCTCTCATTCCCAACTGTGCGATGTGGAGCCACTCGGAATGCGTAAACTTGATGGGAGTGGTATCGCTCCAGATGAAACTACGGCATTATCACAAGGCGTTGAGCGTTGGTCTGCTAGGGTTATCAGCCATTCTCTGGAGGATGAGAGGAAGGCTGGTATTCATCCTACACCACCGTCGACTGTTATTACGAGGTACTCGACACCGCAAGCGGAGACCAACGGTATTGCTAGTATACGGTATGAACCCGTTCATGAGGGAGATAGAGATGCTACAGTGGATGGACTGGACGAGGAGCAATTGGCAGTTCTGAAGCAGATGGAAGAGGAGGTAGAGCTTATGAGAGAGAAGAAGCAACAGGAGATTACTGGCGTTAACTTGGCGACTGCTGTTGGAGGATCCTCCATGTCTGTTGATCTTGGACCTCGAGGAGAATATGACGACTTCATTAACTCAGATAGAGTGCCACGCTTGATGCACGTCGTAGCCGGTGGTCGGCATCCTGCTCATCACAGACTAGTAAGGAAGTTGAGGCGTATGGAGAGGAAGCTCGCCGATATCAATCCGGGCGAGGATGAATATGACGAACCCGTGATAAAATACCGAGAATATCGGGAGGTGGTGAGGCGGTGGAAGGCTCGGAAATCTCGGGAGCTCACGGGAGAAGAAAAGCATCGACTGGCTGCGGGCTTCGAAAGCTTCACGATACGATGGCGAAAGTGGCGACGGAGGATTCTCGCCAAATACAGTACTGTTGATTTTGCTTCTGTAACGAGGAATGCCCCTGCTAAACTACAGCGACGTGTTGCGTATCCGAAGAAGCTGG